TGTCAAAGCTGCAGATAGCCAAAATATTTGGCTTAAATATTTAGAGAGACTGGCTGGCTTTTTGCTGCTGCTGGAGGAATTGCAACAGCTTTGTCCACCTAACTCGTGTTTTCATTAGATGGTTTCTACCTGTGCCATTTCTTTCTTGAATATGTGGGGAAACTCCCGTCCACCTCTCTCTCCTTTTCAGGTTATTTGAAGTAGATCCTGAGTGCAATGCCCCCGCCAGACAGGGAAGTGCTGGGGAATTCAGAAATGCAGTTTTCTATGACTAAATAGGCTGCAAATGCCTGGTTGCACTGCCTGGCTGAAAGAGGTGGGGGTGGGGTGATGAATAGCGCTGGACAAGGCTGTATGATCGACCTATAGCTACTTTACACTTAAAAATGCAGCCCAAGCCACTGGAAAGGGACGGCGCCTCCCCCAGTTTAATTGCTAAAAGTTCTCACCTTTGCCCGACAGTCTGAGGTTTCTGGTGGGAACACCACAGAAAAGGAAATGTGTTTCCTATTAAGGGTTTCAATGAAGGAGGAAAAGAGAGAAAGCCAGAGACACAGATCAGGACAGAGAGAAGCAGACAGACAGACAGAGGCCAGGCTGCTCCCTCCTTTACTTGTTCTTAGGCAAAACTTCGGCTGCGATGAATTTTCATTTTATTCTTATTTCCCTTGCCCCTCACCGGGTCAGTGACACGTTAGAATAAATCAGCTTTTTCTGGAAACACTGGAATTATTAATAAAGTGCAGGGTTATTCTCCTATAATTAATATTAAACATGTTCTCTAATGGTTCCCCCCAACTTTTCCTTTCTTCTTTTATTTCCCTTGCCTTAATTGAAGAGGAAGATGGAAAAGGACTGAAAAACAGAGCAGGAGAGTTTTTTCCCCATAAACCCTCCCTTTTCACAAGGCAGCTTGTCCTTCTGAGATGCAGGAACATCTTGGTTTCACAGTCTTGAAGTCTGTTTAATCTGGAAGTCTTTTTTATCCTCACCTTCTGAAGACCATGTGGCCTTCCCTCCACGTCTCGTGGTAGAATCAGGGTTCTGCTGCATTTAGCAGTATAGTTTTTTTTGGCATTAATATGTGGCTCGAAACCACAAAGCAGTTTTCTGCTTCTGCTTCTCACCACAGTCTCATTCTTTCCCCTTCAGGCTCCTTTCATTTGTACACACCGCACACAACCGACCCCCCATCACTAGAGAGGAAAAGGACGGGAGGTGACAGTTCAGGCTCCTTTTGATGTTCATCCCAAACATAGCATTCACATCTCCCTTCCCACTGCCCACTGGCTGACTGGAGAAGATCCACCAGGCAGACTGTGTTTGAAAAAGATACCGGCACAGCAGTCAGCCAGTCTGGAGTCCGAAGGTGCAGGGGGATGAACGAGAAGAAAAAGCCAAGGCATGGCTTCACAATTTTGAAGAGGACATTGGAAGAAACAGTCAAAGAAAGATGCTTGTTTGGTGGGGATGGACAGTAAATTCCCTGAAAAAACTGCTGGGGGCTGTTTTGAGAGACCCCGAAGGATAGAGTGTGCTGCAGAGCTGGGTACTGCAAGTCTGAAATCTCCCAAAGATCAACAACTGCACGATTCTGATCCAGACCTAAGTTTTGCCTGAAGACTAAAGGTGCTGTGATATGAGCTTGGTTTAGCCTTGACTATATTAAATAGCTCACCTGAACCTTCTGTGTCCACAACTAAGACTGAGCTTTTGCCGAGGTCTTGGAGAGGTTAGCGGTTTATTTTTTCGATCTGGACTCAGATGTGCTAAAATAACGTACTTCACAGGCAGGTTTAAGAATACTTTCACCTTGCTCAGGAGTGTAAAATGTCAAAAACCTTCCGAGGAAGCTAATTTTCAGGGGGTCTCCCTCCCTGGCTAGGCGAGAGGCTCAGAAAGTTCAGATCTGCTCTGTTTCTCAGAAAACAAACACCAACGTTGAGGATTCACTAGTCACCAGCTTAACATCCTGAGAGGGTAAACACCTTTCCAGAGAGAGACTGGGCAGTTGTACTCTAGCCTACAGAGCTGCAATTCCCCAATGTTCTCCTGTGTTTTGTTGCCACCACGTATTCTCCACCCTAAGCAGGAGCGGAGCTGGCTGTCTCTGAAACAACCAACCCTACAAAAGGGGAAAACTCATGAAAAAAGACCGTGTCCCCATGGCACTGAGCTCAGAGGCTCGGCACTAAACATCCGCTGGAAATCAGTCTGGAAAAACAATAAGCTCCTTTCGAAGGCGTTACTCCGTGAGGGAGTTAACCCGCAATCCAGAAACCAGACTGTCATTAGGCAGCGCTGGGAACAGCTGCACGGAAAGGAATGCTCTTCAGAGGCTGCCCGACCTCCACTCAGACAGGAGCTTGCTTTAATAAGGACAGCACTCGCCTGACGTCTTAGAACAGCCCAAGGGGCTGAACGGAGAGAAATTTATAATCATAAAAGCTGGGGATGGACCAGGATTGAACGCTCCTTTCGTATGCATCCACGTAAAGTTGGAATGACTAATTTATCTGAATCCAGCAAAGCTGCTCGGATTTTGCACTAGCTTAATAGCGTAGGAATCACCGTAGGCATTCCCCTGGCAGAACATTCTATTTTTGTGAATATTATCCAGCGTGCATTGTAGCAGCACTTAAACGTCACAACTGCATTAGGGCTCCATCGTGCTGGGTCTTGAGAGACAGGAGCCACAATCCCTCTTCCACAGACTGGCCAGCTCAACAGACAAGACCAAGAAGGCGGCAGGATTACGAGCTCCATTTTGCAGAAAGCAAAACTGAAGCGCAGAGGAACTGAGGCAAAGGTTTATCCCTCCTGATTTCAGGCATTTAAAGGCAGTATGTGAACTAGGGGACTACTATCCTAAATTTCAATTTGCCCTGGTGCTTCTTTCCTATAAACAGAGACCAGCGTGACCAGATTTCTCATTTAGGGACTTCAGGTATCTAAAGGTAAGTAGGAGCCACCGGGAATTTGCTCCTGAGCAAATGGACAGCAGCGAATGCCGCCGGTGGCAATTGAGCCCAGGGCTTCAGGCTGATACCGTGAGAGCAAGGATGCAGCTCCTCTGCCACTCGCTTTGAACACCCCAAGTGAGGGGATGTCTAACACTCCAGACTATCACTGGAGATGCTGTCTGGAGCTAAAGCAACACAAGAATTCAACCCTTCTGCCAAGCTTTTCGAATTCAGCCTGGTTCTTTGATTCAAAAAACATCCAACTCCTTCTTCATCTCTTTCTGTCAATTCTTGTCTTATCAATAACACACTCCAAGTGTCTCACTTGAGTATTTATCTTGTGGGAATTTAAAAACATTTCCGGTTACAAAGCGTCTGATTTGCCCAGCCAAAGTCAGCAGGTTTGGCCAAGGCAGCACTGGCTTCACGAAACTGCCTTACAATTTCCCATGAAAAGTGGGTAATACTGCATGCAAAACTTAGAAAGTTCGTTTGCGTCTGCAACAATCCTGACGTGTTCTGCGAACCAGCAGCTCTTCGCTGATGAAACGGGATGAAATTTGCAACTTTTTTTGGATGGGAAAAAGTTTTATTGTGAAGTCGCGCGGGACAAAAACTGTTCAAATCCAACAATTCGGTTATTTGTTGTGAATCATTTCCTTGGCTCGACTTCTCAGCAAAAATAAAGGTGGGGCTTACAGAGGCACCCATCTGTGATCTAACTCGTCCCAGTGTAATCTGTAAAACTCCCACTGATTTTAGCAGAGGCAGGGAGAGACCAGTGCTGAACAGCTTTGGAGAAACACCCTAAATAAATGCTGTTTCGCTGCTTTATAGTGCTGGCCAGATGGAGACAACTTCAGCTGCCTTTACATCATGATTTGGTTTCCTAGTGGAGAAAATACACTTCTTTTCTTTCTCTCCCTGCCCTCCCACCTTGCTTTACGGCACCTTCTTCTGATTTTTATGTCCTCCAACAATTATACTCCTATAAAAGCAGTTTCACTTCTAAAAGTATTGGAGCATGTGGGGTTTAGCTCCAGTTCTCTGGCCTCGTCATAACGCTACTATCTTTAGTGTGTCTTTGTGAAGAAAGGAAATGCTTTAACCTCCATTTTATAGATGAAGAGGAGACATGTGGGAGCTATGGACATGCTCAGAAGTTTTAGAAAGGTCAGAACCTAAGACTCCCAGCCTCAAGAGCGTGTGCTAACCATGAAGTGGTCATTCCTGTTTGGGCTGCTGTGGTATGTTTTCCCAGAAGCAGCTCAGAATACTGCTCGCAGCTTCTGTCTTAGGGGCTTAGTGCAGCAAAAGGAGTATTGGATCCGTCACATACTCTAGTGTGGGACACAGAGGAGCCATAAAGAGGTTCAGCAAAACTTGCTCTTTGAGTACCAGGTGATTTGCACAATGTCTGCTTCAGCACAGTTACATTTGGGAAAACTCCTGCATTTTTTCCTCTTTCCAACAAATCTGGGCCTCCAGGAATATAGAAAACCTCCAGCTCTGCCCAGTTGTGGGTCCTATTCTGAAGCAGCCTTTACCACAAGCCTTGGGGGAAAGTGCACAGCCCTCTAACTGCAAAGTTACGGAATAATTTGCCTGTGACCCATCAGTTAATGTTTGGTTTAATCTCCACAGCAAATCTATGTGTTTTTATCACGTAGCCACAGATGTTCTTGCTATCTGCAGGACTATCTAATCTTCTTAAGAGTCCTGCTCAGTTCTTCACCTCCCTGATAGCACCACTAACTCCATCTAAGTTAAAAGTAACTTTCCAACCCGCTTTTTATTCCTCCCTTCCTTGGTTTGCTCTCTCTGCTTGCCTTTCGCTGTTCTTTTTCCTTCACCCTTGCTGCTATTTATCCTGCAAGAAGAGTTCAGAGCTCACGGCAGCTTATCCTATCAGCGTGTCACGCTAGGGCTGGGATAAGTCAGGGCAGTACTTACTTTCCCTGAGGTAACTGAGGTGAGACAACAGAACTTCTGTGTTGTAGAGGGAGGTGGTTCGGAGGAAGTCGTCCTTGTTCATTTTGCAGAGCTCCTTGCCGTCCATGTTCTGGAAGATGGTGGTGTCAATCTCCATTAATCCGTACTCCTTTATAGCCCATTCCAGCCACTGGCGCACGTGTTCCTGGGTCCAGAGGGTGGGATCTGGCAGGAAAGCACAAAGGAGGGTAACGCTATACGCAAGCCTCAAGCCTCCAGCACTCACTGTAGCCCCGTCAAAGCATTAACCATTGTTTCCACAACCAAATGGATTTAATTTACTGATTCCAATGCGTTTTGCCAAGATGAACAAGCACGGAGCTATAACTCAAGGCCCATAAATTGATCACACTGACCCTTTGGCAGGGTAAGTTCTCCTGACTATCTCCCACCTGCCTGAATCTTATACCTACGCTTGGGAACAGTATTAGTGACATTTGACTGTGGTTTTTCTACTTCTGGGGAAAAAAAAAAAAAAAAAAAAAAAAAAGCTTCCAAAAACAAACTCATCCCTTGGAAAGGGTATGTCTGTCACAGCTTCGGTTCTGCAATGCTGTATAATGACATCAGCGCTATAGAAGTCACACTATCCTTCGCAAGTGCATTACAAAGTCCCAACAGATGGCATTTTAAAGTCTGAGGATGGCAGCATTTACGGTCAGCAAAGGGACTCTAAAGAAAAAAAAAAAAGAGTATTACTGCTTCAACAGAGCAGCTTGCCATGTATCTCTGAGTCACATTTGTTCACCCCGCTGACAAGAACACAGTTCTACCTCCGCTAGCCCTGTAAAACCAACACAGCTATTGGAGGGCAATGTGGATTTTATACTGTCTCATGCATCATTATCAACTGTCAGCAAAGCTCCAGCTGCGGAATCTTTATTGCTGGCGATGACGTAAGAGAGAGATTGAACCCGGCTGGAGTTTCAGACCCCATGGTGATGGTTTGCTGCATCAGTAGTTAAAAAAAGAAACCTTCCTTTGAGTTTCGAAAAGAGCATTAGATCAGAAGGTCCCAGCAAGAATTTGTGCCACGATACCATTTTTACAGAGTCATTTTCAGAGCATATCTGCGTTTTCAGATGTTTCCTGTGCTGCTGCTCCCTGTGTATCCCATTTGAAAACTTAAGCTGCAAATTCATGTCCCGTTGCAGCTGGAGAGGGTTGCAAAGTCAAGCTTAAACTTTGGAGACGTTTGATCTGTCCATCACAGCTCGTACGTTCCTCTAAGACCGACTTCAAACACCTCAGGTCCCGAGGCAGTTGAGAAAACGGCTCAGAAACACGTCGCCATCACACAGCTTGTGGGTTGTGCTTTGGGGAGGGACAAGAAACGCCGCTGCCACACGTTTTATAAAGCAATGCCTTGCCCCAGGACTGTAAACTGTGTGTGCTTGGGCTGAGGGGATCCCTTGACAGAAAAGGTCAGACAGTGGCTGTACCTGGTGCTTTCCTGAGCGCCTGAGTTCCAGAATAACAGCACAAAGTGGAGGAGTAAGGCCAAGGAATGTTGAAATTATAACTGTGACATTTCCTTACTGAATTTCTAGTAAAACCAGCTGCTTGAAGTTGATTTTTAAACATGGGGCTTACAGCCCTGTATCTTTGCAAGTCTATTTTGGGAAAGAAAGATGGGTTTCCTTTAAATTCTGGCAATAGCCAATTTAAATTCTGCTTTCTAAGCACTGGCAAAGGACTGCAAATTTTACAAGGCAAGTATTCAAGGGAGGATTATTTTTTTTTTTAATTGAAGGAGTTATTTGTCTTGAGATTTGAAAAAAAAACCCCAACATTTAGAGGGCACAGTGAATTTGTGGTCTCCCTTTAAACAAACACTTTTGAATTTCAGATTGTTTGTTCAGCCTATTTATCACTGCAAAAGACATTGAATGGTCTCTGAAAAACTGCCTTCTTGAAACATGGCTTAGAGTTCATTATTGCTACTATTGCAAGCCTAATGTGACATTATTCTTGCCTATCTTCACCCTAATGCGCTATAAATCTTTCCTCTGGATTGTATTAAAATTTCCAAGTGCCTTTCTTGGATGAATTTGGCCTCATGTCCTGCAGCCAGAGATCTGGGATGATGTTCATTATTGTCTTCCAAAGCCTGGTAAATCACTGCTATTTCACAAGGATCTCAAGCTTTTGATTTGTGGATGCTCATGAGGAGGGAAAAAAAGGGTTTTTTTTTTTTTACTTTCGTTCAAAGAGGAGATTTTAAACCTTCTCTTTCACTGACGGCACTAAAAGTCATTTCCCGTGTTTCTACACTGCTAAACTTTAGCCTGGCCTTGGTCTTCTTAAATATGCAGAAATAACACAGTGAAGAGCAGGATAAAAGTTCCCTCTTGACTACCTTTAATGATATAATGGCCAGTTGGTATCAGCTAACATGCTTCTAGGCAATGTTGATGTTGAAAACGTATCATCAGATGCTGTCACTGATTAGGCTGGCCAGTCTTTCCGAGCAGATCCTAACAACGGCTTAAATGGTACTTTGAGATTTGCTGTCAATCTTTTATTGGCTTCCCTTCGCTACATTCAGTTCAAGCTTTTTCTTTTCATCCTAAATGGCAAACAAATGCTTGGGAGTTGTCATCTGTTCGTGGTCAAGCCACGATCAGAAAACAGAGCTAAATTCCACGAGTACACTTCTTTCTGCCAACTGTTCATCTGCTTGAATCGGCTACAACCCTCGGTGAAACCCTCACAACACTGGGTGAAAAGCTGCACGCCCCTTGAAATCGGTGGAAGTTTTGGTACGTAAACTGGGCCAGGACTTGGCTCATAACATCTCCCTTGCTGCAGAGTTCCTGGGTTAGGCCTGTTTGTGTCTATGGTGTTTATAAATTCGCAGGGAAAAGACTCCCTCTCGTTCCAGGTTCAGACTTCACTGGTCGCCTGCCCCAGCAGCTCTCATCCTCGATATCTAAATGCATCTTAACGCATCCTGCCAGCTTCAGGCAGCAGATGTGGATATCAAATACAAACAGAGAACCGGACAGGAATGTTTCTGTGTAACAATTTTTGGAAGGATAATGTAGTTCCTGCAAAATATATTTTTTCTGGTTTTCTACTTCTGACAAAAAAATGAAAACAAAATAACTCATTTTGAATCAATATGAGATGAAAGTGCATCTGGATCCTGCAGAGCATCATGGGAGGTATAATTTGGGTCCACTTCGTGCTTATTCTTGCCTATGAACTGCGCTCTTTGATCACACCGTCCATGTCCCAGGAAGCTCTGCAGATTCTCCTCTAACATATGACGGGAAATGGATTTTGTTCCACACACCAAAACAACACTTCATTCCAGAAAAAATAAAGATAAAATAAAGAAGCAGCACTAATTATCTACTTCTTATTCTGTTTCAAGGCAGAACATATACTGGGACATGGGAAATTCCCACTAGCCAGGAACTCTGATGTTTTCCTTACTTTTTACATGGTTTGTAAGAAAGAGAATCCCTCAGAGAGAGGATAAACAAGCCTTATCTGTTCAGCTGGGTATTTAAGACAGTGCAAGGAAACACGACACAAAGAGTTTGATGGTGGTGGTACCTGCTGGGACAATGACTCTCCTCTCATTGGTGGTCATGTTGGGAGGAGGCCCATTCTTCTCATCCATGTAGGTGCTGTAACTCATTGGGTTGGACTCTGTCCCTGCTCCGACGAGTTTGCTGCATTTGTTCACGCTACAGTCTACGGGGGACTCCCTGAAATGCAAAAAGACGACTTGTCGTTATTATGCACCTTTCACCCCTGCTGCAGCAGCCCGAGGTTTGGGTCACAGAAATTGCGAACATCCCGAAGGTGAAAAGTTGAGGGGAGTTTCTTTACATGTGGGAGAGGCCGTTCCTGGCCTGTCACATGAATGTCATAAGGTGACCTATGAATCACAAGTCTCACGGACTTCATTAGCTCTGATAGCGAAACCAGTTGGAGGAAAGAGAGTTGGAGGTGCAAAGAGGAGTGACTTTCAGATAAAGGCAATGGTGGCTGTAAGGTCGTACTCTGTACCTCTGAAATACCAAAATTCTTGAACTAGAGAAAAAGCAAGTGCCTATCACATAGATCTATCGGTTAAAGCCCCCACTCCCCCTTCATCCTTTTTAGCAATACTTCAGATACAGCCTGATGCTCCCAGGAGCCCTTGTTGGGCTTGTTTCCCTCTTGCATGGTATTAAAAACAGCACTGCACACCGTCTTTCTGTTGCAGTGGAGTCTGTCAACTGACAGAAAGGCTGCACTTCTCACCTCATGACCTGAGGCATTTCTGCAGAGCTTATCAGAAATACAGATACACCTCCCTTCGTCTCATTAGCGCAGAACACAACATACCCAGGGCAAAATGGCAGAGTACTGATGAGAGAATACTACCGTATTATCGTGGTATCTAAGGGGTCTTATTTATACAGGGCTGGATGTAACTGATCTTGTCTGTTCTTAACAGTTAAACAGTCCCAGGCTTGTCTACTACTTGGATAGGAAATCTAGAAATCTTCGGTGCCTTAGGCGGGAATCAAGAACTTCAGACCACAGAAACTGTGTGTGAAAAAAGTCTCTGGCTCCAGTTTTACTTCTGAGGTGATGGAGCGATGAGGAGGGACCATGTCGCAACCCAGGTGGCACTGCTCTAAGACCTGGACTGCGTGCAGACCCTTGGCAGGCAATAGGCTTTCTCCATCCTGCTCTGGGAGAATTCTGAGCCTCCAAACCACAGATAGGGAGCACAGATTTTGTTTTGCTCCAGCTGCAGCAGTAATTCCTGCTTTTAGCTCTAGAGGCCACTTAAAATACCAGCCCACAGCCTGCCAGAGGCACCCAGCACACCCCAGCCCTGAAGAATGCACCAGGGAAGGGCAGCATTATTGCCCTCACCTTTTCAAGGGTGCATTCGTGTGCAAAGTGTGTGCAAAGCAAGCACAGAGCTCACACCCAGTGCAGCTCAGTCCGCTGCTTTAATCACAGAGCCGTCCTTCTGGCCTGCCAGCAGCAAAGTGGCCTGGGAGGAAACCATTCGCTGAAGGGTAAGAGCTATGACAGCGCACCAAATCCCACCCTCTGCGTTCAGCTGGCAAGACTTCCAAGTTTGGACACTAAACAAATTTGTTTCTTAATCTGAATGGGGGAGGGAGGAGAAATTACCGAAATTCGGTTATCATGGCTGGGAGATAAATGCTCCACCGAGATATCTAAGGCAGATGGTAATTTTTTCCTCATGTCTTACTGAGGGAATGTTGCTTGAAAATGGAAATAAGATGTATAACTTACACATGTTCGAATTTAAGGTTTTACTATTTCGCCTACTGTTTTTCCAGGCAGGGAACCAAAATCCGCCTTCAGAGAGGCAAACTGCTGAAGGTTTAATGTCCCCGTGGCAGTCAGAGGAGAGTCTGAGCAACTGCAGGGACACCAGGGTTTTCACAGGGAATGTGATCATTTCTAACTTTCTGTTGAAATACTCTGTGTCAGGTGTTAAATGCTGCCTGTACTGGCAGAGAAAAAGCCCTGAAGCAACACAAAGGATCTTATTCTTTCCTGAGGTACAGGCTGTCCTGAGAAGACTTGGTGAAACGGCAAGAGCATCCGTGCTTCAAGGTGTCAGGCTCTGCTCAGCTTCGCGCACACCAACCCCTGGAGGAGACCAACCCCCTGCCTGGAGATCAGGTGCTGACTTGAAAGGGTGCGGGCAGCCCAGCTGGTGGGGCAGACCCGAACACACACACATGGATTCCCACCTGCCTTTGGGATGAAGTTCTCCCTCCTTTAGACACCACAGTAACATTTTCTTTGCCTTCCCCGCGGTCAGCACATCCCGGGTGCCAGCAGTGCTGCTGCCTGGGGTGCTCCTAAGGGGTTCGCTCTCACCCTGCCCTGTTCTGTTGTTAAATTTCCCTGGAAAATAACCCCCGCAGTTGAGATACTCACTATTTATGAGAAAATAGTTATGTATACAATACTCAGACAGAACTATAAGATATATCCAGACGCTCAGACAGTACCATCTTCTAAAAAGCTTATCTGCCTGGGAGTGCACATGCTTTCTCTACCCTCTCTGCTAAGTTTCGTGCACGTTCACATGACCGATACAGCACAGTAACAAAAATAACACCAACGCTGTAAGATATCTCCGCGGCGGTTTTGCCGTGAGTTTTCACTTTGCAGACTCCTGGCTCGGCGGTTGGGACCCTGCCTATCCCCTGCCTTGCTCTGTATGTCTCAGCAGCCAAAAGAGACAACCAAGTATCAGAGACAGATCTGAGAAGAAGTTTAAGGGACTGAGGTTCCCTACCAACCACTGATTTACCACGGTGGGAAGAGGAGCCACTCGGATAATCCTGCAGGACGTTAAACATGCTCCATGTACCTGCCACGGTTGCGTGTGGCTGTCTAGATGCCTCCCTTTCCTCTGAGGAAATTTTCAGGACGGTTGAATCCAGAGCTAACCCAAGTGGAAATCTGATAGCAGAAGGACAGACATAACTGGGAATAGCATTACCAGAACTTAACTGGGCAGGAGACCAAAATGTCCTTAAGAAAAATACCATGAAATCTTTAGTGACGGCAAGCAGGAAGATCCTGACTTTTGTGTCCTCTGTAACCCAGCATTTCCTACCAGATCCAAACGGAGCTTTTTATGGGGAAATGAGACAGCGCTACCAGACTGAATCATCTTTGCAGCTCCTGGACGTCCGTTACTGCCCTGCCCCAGCCTAAAATGAGGGATTTAACAGTACCCCAGCAGAAGGTAGGTGTAGCTGTGGGCAACACAAAGAAGAATTCAGTGTGGGGAATAACTATAGTAACAAATAAGAACAGGGAGCTGCAAGTCATGAATAGTGTATTCATTGAATATAGCTCCTTTCTTAGTTCGTGCATTACCCACCAGCAGACTTAGATTTATATGAAGATTTGAAATGGTTCGTGTGTGGGGATTTCAGATGCCAGATTAATCCTTGCCTTTTCACAGAGACTTCAGACTTTCAAGGGGCTATACATGCTGGACTTGCTCAGGTTCTGGGCAGAAAACCTTGTGGATCAACTAAAGTGAATGGATATAGGCTGCTTTCACAAGATCTCTTCAGTGTGTTCACTGTGGCAGTGACAGAGTCCAAGGAATATGAAGCAGTATTCGTTCCCACTGTCTGTCCAAAGACTCTTCGTTCCAGCAGCTCCAGCAGCAGTCTCTGGGGATGCCAAGAGCTTGGTGTTTTGGGAAAGTTTATGCTAGCCTGGCCAAAATGGACAAGCAGCTAGCCTGGCATTGACTAACAAATCCTCTCTGTACACTTTCAGCCTGTGTTCCAGATACATGAAAATAAAGCAATTACTGTCCCCGGGCCTCTGTCTAGGAATCACCTTTGGCTTTCATTCGAAAGAGCAAAATAAGGGATTTCAGTGATTTCTGAACCTCACTCAGCTGTGATCAGCGGGATATTTCCTCCTTCTTTCTATCCCTTTCTTCCTAGCCTTTCATTCCTCCTCTCTTCCCATCTTTTTTTTTCTTTTTAAATTTGCCACTTGTTGCTGTTAAGTCCCCATTTAGTCATCTCAGATTTAATCTTTAAATTTGAAATTAGATTCTATTTTTGTTGTTGTTGTTCAGTGAAGGAGGTAAGAAGAGACATGCTGTGATTCTGCTTGCGGTTCCCTCTCGCAGGCAGGGAACAGAGCTATCAGGGCAGAATCACGGCTCCTCAAAACTTGCATCTAACTGCACTTCAACCCTGCCTCTCGTCCTGCTCTCGGGAATGCCTCGGGAGGAGGGTCGCACTGAAAAAGACTGCAGGAAGAGGGGACGGCTGTACAGAGGACGGAAAGAGACACACAGGTTACAAAACTCAGACTGCCTGAGGAAAGCACAGAGGCTCAGTTGGGTCTAAAAGAATCTTGTTTATCACGCACAGGTAAATGCAAACAGCAGGTAATTGCACACTCTGCTGCTGTGGCTGGGGACTGGAACAACACGGTGAATCCCACTAGAGGGCTCACACGCTGCTTAAAGGGGGTTTTTATTCTTATAGACAGCGCAGATGCTCCTTCGTTTTGTTCTGAGATAATTATTGTGGCATAAAAATATTCTGAGATCCCTGAACCTTAGCATTATTTTAATATTCCGAAGCTGGAGAATGTCTCCAAAGCATTGTCGAAGCCCTGACTTCGTTATTTTAGCTTGTGACCTCAGTTACAGTTACACAGCGAAGTTCGCCCGCACCCATGTCCACATCCAGCACATTGGGATGTTCTTTCACATTTGAAGATCGTACAGATTTTGTAACGTCTGTTTAAAAATCACTCTCTGAGTTTAGCTACAAATGCAGATCTGTAGCGGCTCAGTAAATACAGTCAAAATTTGTAACATCTGTTGTTTGGTTCACTCTTTGCATTTGGAATTTATGTAAAATACAAGGAAAAATCTGTTATTAAAGTAGACTGTAAATTGGGTTAAACTTTACCAAGCATTTTTCTGAATAATCCTCCTCCTTTATTCATTGCAATTTAAAATGTGGAAGATTTTTTTTTTTTTTTTAAATATAAATGATTGTGTTTATATTACAAAAGACCTAAAGGTCCCAACAGAGATCCAGGGAACTGTAAGAGCACATAGTAGGAGACAGATCTTTCCCTGAATGGGCTACAAATGAAATAAACAAAAGACACAAACCCAGCAAAGAACAAAGATTGCAAGCCAAGCCACGCTTCCAGTCCTCGAATGGATGCAAAGGGAGATGAACGGTATAGAAAACACCTTGCGCTAAACCCATGAAAAAGCTGGACTTCTATTTTGTTGTGTGCTACAAATACAAGACCATTTCCATTTCCCGGTGCCTAAGGGGGGTGTAAGAAGCACGAGGACTTTTAATGTTTCTATGTTTGGTTTTACCTGCCTCCTGTTTGGACGCTAATCGCTGCGAAACACAAGTGTAGCACTGGGTTTTGTTCTGAGCAAGGAGCTGTCTGTGAAGGCAAGGGCAGGATTTGAGGCCATATACTGCATCCAGGTCTGATAATACCAGCAACTTTCCCAGAATTCCTACTTCCGAATCTTGCAATAATACATCTTCTCCCCTAAAACACAGATCCCTGCCGCTGCCTGAATATCCCATATACACAGTTAGTATGCAGTTACCGGGAAATTCTTTCCAATTTGGGAGTAAACCTGGAAAATGGGGTAGAAAGCTGGCCAGGGTTCCCACGTTGTTTAGCACTTGGAGGGACAGCTTTGCAAAACAGGCTGGGCGAGCTCCTTCAAAGACCCCTTCTCCCACCCTGCTGAGGACCAAACCAGCTCATCACGCTGTCCCTCACGGCAGTCAGCCCTGCTTCTGGCTGAGAAGAAAAAAGAAGAAAAGCTGGACACTGTCCCTTACCGTCACCCAGCTCCCTCCACTGCCAGGTTTCCTATAGCTTTGTCACTCCCTAGAGTACAGAAACCATTCTCTCGACACGCAGAAAACGCTAGCGCTTCGAGTACAGGTGAAACACGGAATAAAGGCTGCTCCCTCTTATGAGGCAGCTGGAACCCGGTGAGAGAGTGTGCTTGAAAAACAAGAGAGAGAAGGAGAGGCAGAGAGAGCGGGAGGGGGAAATAGGTTTTGTTATTCACTCTGCAGTTTGAGTCCATTTGTATTGAGACTGGCGCTTGCCGCTCAGATGGTGTGCTGGTTTTGCCAGGCAGCTGATGGGCAGAGGAACAAGCTACTGGGGCGGCACAACCTGGACCAATGAGGTGTGATGGGCACGTGGGGAAAGGGCAAATCTTCAGCCGTGAATAGGAGGAGAGAATGGATCAGTCAGATGAATGTTCTCATTTCTTGGGTGGGCTGGAGCTTGTGGGCTCACAAGTTATCAAAAGGCAAGGCTGGAAGCTGTTTCAGTGCTTAGTTCTGACATTCAAACCAGTCTTTTCTGTTTTTCTAACAGGTTGGGAAGTTGTTACCCCTTTTAGAGAGACTGAGGACACTTAGTTTCTGCCTAAGGCTCCTGAGGTCTTGAGCAAGCCCGCAAAGAAGGATTTCCTTTTTGCCCAGAATAAACACACTTCTGGAGGGCCTTTCTCCATGGATATCAGAGCGCTTACAGTTGTTAATGAATCAGTTTGTCCAAGCAGTATTATTTCCCTTTTTTCTCTAGCCAGATGAGGAAATTGTAACACAAAGCTCACGACAGAGGGACAACCCAATGCATTTCATTCCCAAGTACATGCAACACATGTACAACAAGAACGTTGCATGGACTTTCGGACATACGGGTACACACACGTGCAGAATCTGTACACAACAAGTGCTTACAGGATCTGAAAAGCACAAATATCTGCTGCCTGTGGAAGCTCAGCAGCTGTGACAGGACTGCTTCTTCTCTTGACCCTCCAAAATTTGCTGCAGATGTGACAGACAAGTAGCACAAAGAGAGGAAACACGCTCTGTGTGTTGGTCGGACACTAGGGGTGTGAGCAACTGCTGCCACGCTACAAAGGGGCTTCCTCACATGATCGTGGGAGCGTGTTGCCTGCGCCATAGGTGAGGCTGATTCTGCCAGCTCGGTTCTCATGACTGGTTCACCCCTCTGCGGGATGGAGAGGTCGGACCTGCACAGCACCATGGACAAGCCTCGCTCCTTCAGTCAGGATCCCACTCTGCGTTGCCCTCTTCAAGACTTTAGGGACAGCTTCATATCGTGACTATCAAAAAACCACAACCTGCCTGTGCTTCCAAGATCCATCCTTTTGCCTGTGTTATCCAGGGATGGTGTTTTCCAGGAAATAACTAATTTCCCGATGTTTCAGCCTCAGTTCTGAGATTGGAAACACTGGAGCAAAAATGCATGTAGTTCTTGTCAAGTCCGGAACAGATACTAAGGTACAACCGAGGCAAAATCCAATTCAGTCTACAAATGAACACCATCAAAGACCAACTGATGCAAAGACCTTTATCTGATAGTAAAATCAGCATCTACTCGAGGAAAAAAAACACGCTGCTGTTTGAAGTCTTTAACACCATCGTCGCACTGTAGAAGCCTGAAAGTGCGAGGCTGCTTTCTGTTTCAAACTCTGTGCTTTGCTAGGTTCTCAGAAACCAGGAAAACAGGCTGTTACAGCAGCCCTAAACTAACCCTACACAAGAAAAGCTCTTGATTGTTGAACTGCCCTGTATTAACATTGTGTGAATGTAAGACGTGTCTGTGACTTTTGAAATTAAAAACAAATTTAAAATTAGTATGAAGTCTAAAATATGCAATGCTAAAAATCAAAATAGTTCTCCTTTATTGTGTATGTTTAAAAGCGGGAAAAAAAGTGAAATTTCTACACCTAAAGATTTTGTCCAAGAAGGCGACAGTTTTTCCTGGGCTTTGGACTTGTAGAAATGTTTTTAAAAGAGACAACCCGAGCTGTGATAATAAAATGCTTTCAAGTCTTTGAATTTCTCATTGATCAGGGAAATGATCCATCTCCCGCAGCTCTAACTACAAATGATGGGGAGCAGGCCTCCTACTTCTTTGGCTAAAAGCTGTAGAGGGCACATCACAACCAGTGTCCCTTAATCACTGCTCAAATCTGCTCCTGAACGTTCTTTTTCACCAGTGGTCGCGTATATTCACACAGAAGACGTGGGTCTACGCCTTTTGTTTTGTTACACCTCGTAGGCTGCCATAAAGGACCTCAGTCTCCTCTTTTCCCTTCTCCATCGAACAGCTCTCCAGTTTCCCGTGGTTGCCCTGGTGGAGCACCAATCTAGGTGCAGATGCAACCAGAAGTGCCCTCCAGTGAAGCCCATACAGTCCATTAAAGCAGCTTTCACTAGCTTCGCTCTGGAGCACTGGTATAAACACCCACTACTACTGCACGACCGACTCCGTCTTTAGGAGCTCCTTGGACCACGGCACGTTTGTGGGATGCTGAACTAAGTGATGAAATGTGTCGTTTACAACAGCGTTTGCAGCATGAATTCTGCCCCGGCAGTCTCATGTCCCGGTCTGTGCAGCGTTGGTGGAGACTGGTAGAGAGGCACGCTGCAGAACTGCACGAGGAAGATCCTCGGGCCGTTAAAAAGTGAGTGAGGAAGGAACTTAGGCTGAGCGTGTCGTGATCCTACACAAAGAGTGGGGTTTGTTGATATGGAGGGCAAGAGCACGAATGGACAATATGGGCTCTGCTTTTATTTAAGATCCAGAAGATGCGGAAAGGGTCTTTCCTTACCTTGATCCATTCATGTGGTCATATTCCCTTTTCACGTTGACCCGGACGGGCTGATTAATCCACTCCTGCTGAGGAGGCAAAGGGTTGATTTTGTGCGGCTGGCCATAGTCAGGGTTCCCTGAGGCTGTCATATCTGCCTTGGGGAGGTGAGTGGCAGCGCCGTACGTGGAGTCAAAGAGGGACTGGTCGTCGCTCACCACCGACAGAGCCTCCTGAGGAGAAAAAACAACAAGCACTCAGTCATGACTAAACTAGTAACTCCACTCTTATTCTCTCTTTGAGCTGGTGAGCACCTGCGAGGGCCCCACAGCTGCCCGGCGCTGTCTGAAATCGCCATCTGCCAGGATTGCAGGTTGAATCAGATGCTTTGGGGTCCATTAACCCGTATGCAAAACCGGCGGGTTGCTTTGCTAGCTGCTGGGTTGCTCTGGGGGGGCAAGAGTGAAGGTTAACTTGACTTCTGCAAACAGCAAAGGTGGCTGCTGGGTGCTGTATCGCCCTCGTTGCTTGCTGTAAGCTGCTTCGTCTGATGTTTCCTATAGTTACCTGCCCACCTGCCTGCACTTGCTGGTCCAAACCCAACCAAAGAGGGATGTAACATTTCTGGAGTGGCATTTGAAGGTCTCTACATCTTCTTTCAAAGGGTTTTGTGTGGTGTTTATATTTTGAGGTTACTAGCGAAGGAGCAGCAGTCAGTACAGGTCAGAGTTATGGGTGTTAGTGGTGGGATAAAAAATGCATTACTTTACACTTTCTGTTTATTTTGTGGGAAGTGTAGGACTGGTGAGTTACCAAACCGTGCATTTCTAGAAATGCTTAAAAACAGGAAATGGTTATCCTTTTTTTTTTTTTTTCCCCCCTGCTGAAACTCCAAATGTTGACAAAAAGTTTTGACTATCAATTTCCTTGCGTTGATGCGCTTGGGTTTTCTAAATGAAGCGTGCCAGGCTCCTAAAGGCTTTGGCACAGTCCTGCCTTATTCAAAGTGCATCTGACAAGGTCTGCATGTTCTTTACGGAGCTGAGTTAACCACACATAACATAGCTGCCATTATGGCTGGCAAGCCAGACACTGAGCGGGGAACCTCCCAAACTAAAAGCACACGCTGCTTTAATGTGAGTTAACGGAGCAGACCTCCGAAAACAAAGGCAGCAGCGGACTCACCTACTCTGCGGACTGAGCATTGAAAAGACCCGTAACATCGATGTGGATGCAGCAGTGGGTCACCCGGGAACATACAGACACTCTCTTTGCTTTGAAAGCTGAGGTGTTGCTAAGCCCTCAGTGCTCCAAATTCACAGAACACAGTCCAAATCATGAGCTTTTAACAATAACAAATTATTGCTTTCTCCCCGCCTCCCCCCAGGAGTTGTTTCTGAGGTTAGTTTTGCAAATTCTTCCACAACCAAGGAAGAAAGAGAAATTCTGAAAAGTTAGAAAAGTGCAGCTCCTGGAATCCTCTGATTACACAAGAATCTAAGTGCAAATCGGGTATTACCAGGCTCATGATATCGTCACAAAAAATGTCAATAGTTAGAGTCTAGGGGGTAAACACAAGAATCCCTCTCAGCTTGAAATTAACCCACTTTGAAAGAGCCAGGTCAGTGCTCTGCACTTACAAATATCAGCACTTTTCTATCTCTGATCTCAGATCGTGTAACAAAACCAAATGAGCCCGAGTAGCCTAGAATTCAAGTGGGCCTGACTAAGCTTGAATTCGGAGGAACCTGCAAACATCTGTGTAAGTCGTGCTGAAGTTACAGTATTTGCTGTAAAAATTTTATAAGCAACCTCTCACACTGCTTGGCAGCGATGGCTCCAGCCTTTGAACAACAAAAACGTGAGCTTTTACCCCACACTGCCTAACGCTGCGTCTCGCAAGGAGCTCAGGCGGTGTTCGTCCTTTCCAGCAGCTTTTTCTTGGTGGATGCATAACCTTTCAAAAATACCCCCTCCCTTTTTCTGCTTTCATTAGAATAAGCTAGGGAGTGGAAGGTGCCCCTCGGAAGAATTTCCTTGTGGTGCAATCCTGTGTGATCACAGCCTTGTGTCAGAAACTCCTTAAAGGGACTGAGACGATCTCCAGGCTATAAACTTTTCCTGTATAGAAAGGTACAAGCACACCAGATCTTCTGATGACAGCTCTGAAAAGAGAGCCAGCCTTTCCGTCAGAGGTAAGGCTGTAGTGACTGGCTGCTTCTCTGATTTACTGAAGTCAGGATGTCAGGCAGGGGTTCCTAAATGACACATCTCTAAGTCTCTGCTTCCTCTCAGTACAAAAGATGTGGGGTTCCCCACATCATGGCATAAGGTAGTAGGTGAACCCCAGGTACCCGGGGCGCTGGACTGACTGATGGCTCTCCAGACCCGGTCTCAGCTGTGCGTCTTTCTGGTCAGAGGCACGGAAACCATGAGTACCACTGGAAATTCATGAAACAAAACTTTTAAATGTTTCATTTTGGAGATTTCCAGTTTAAAAAATATACACCGAGTTGGGTTTTTTTAGGAAAACATTATCTGGGAAAATACTTTTTCTGCCTAAAGCCATTTTTCTTCTGAAGAAAGGTTCTGATGGGGAAAAAACAGGAAAGCAGAGATCTTTCTGGCTAACACCGGCCCCCTCCCCCCCCCAAAAAAAACCCCAACAAACAACAAACACCCCAAAGAACAGCCCTGGACTAGGATTGATGATTGGGGCTGTTCCAAGTACAACTCTCTTTACATACACAGGCAAGTACACACTTTGATATACAGACTATCTGATGGAGAAGCCTGCCTCCTCAGATAAGGATCTTCCCTGAAAGACAAAGCGGCTGCTGAGCCCTGCCCCCCCCAGCCACTGGTGCTGAGGGGGATAATGATCATCTCCCAGGCAGGCAGCAGTTGCACCGAGCAGCTCTGCATTTTGCTGCTTGAATGCATCCAGGCTCCACAACCCCACCGCCTTTAGAACTCTGTCGCGCGCAGGAAAAGAAATTCCAAGGCGACGGCTGCCGTGATGGCAGGCCCAAGCAGTTACTGAACCGGGAATCGTTTGAGCTAAACCCCTGAGTTAGTTACAGCCACAAAAGCTACAGCCTCAAGGCTCCGGGGGAACTGAAGACACACCGAGCAGATCAGGCAGAGATAGCGGCTTCTGACACCTGCTTACGATGCGGGCCGTGCATGCAAATAGCAAACAAGTATTGCGATCGCATGCAAGGGAAGTCGGGTGGCGTGCTGCCAACCCCTGCTGCAGCCAGCTCCTCCGTGGGGTGTGCAGCTCCAGAGGCAAACAAAGGGGTGGCGAGCGACAGGTAGCCTTTAGCTGGCAGGGTCAGGGCATGGGGACCGCTCGGATAATGTCCTAGCAGTGAGGACTAGCTGGGGCTCAGTTTAGGTCTCTCGGAAAAGGTCAGGGCTCGGTGGCCCTGCCAGAGTTTCAGGCTACAGACCCAGATGGGGAATGTGTACAACCTTCCTGGTGCTCCCTATCAGAGGCTCTGCTTGGCTAGATTCTGTTTTGAAGGACTAGGCTTTTTGGGAAGCGTTTGTCTTCAGTTCTGGCTGACAATGAGATCAACAGCCGAATACCAGAGGGCAAATTTCTGTCCCCCGGAATTGAGAGCTTTTGGGAAAACACACCGAGGCGTTAAAGATGCTAACATAACCTACCCAGGCAGGCCAAAGCTCGCCGGGGCTCCCCCCCATGCTGTTGCCTCCCAGGCTGTGTCCTTGAGCTGGCCAGACTGAGTCTGAGACAGGGGTCTTGTGTGTATTATTCTGGCATATATGTTACATTATATTGCCTCTGGGAACAGGCTAGCTTCAGTTTTTCCAGTTTTTAATCACATTCCTGGCATAAATGTGGCAAGTCCCGTCTATGGCAGCTTGCAGCGCTGCGAGAGGCAGGTTCAGCTGCCTGTGAAGCCAAGCCCAGCCCAGCCTTTGCAGGGCAGCCCACAGCTGAAAGGCTCCCGTTGCTGTGACTGCTGAAACAGCCTTGCACAGAGCTGGGGTGCACTTCTGGATCCCTTAGACATGCATATGCAGTACGGCTATGATTAATAACAGTTTATAGTCGTAAGAGGTCAAATTTGCAGGTTTTTGGGTTTTTTTAGATGAGCCATTTAGACCCGGATCTAAGCGCTACAGCAAGGTGAGGAACACTTTGATTCAGTCCCTGCGTGCTGCAGGAAAGCCAGCTTGTTGTTCTGGTTGCACAGTGGGGAGGGCTGACAGTCCAGCAATGCTTTGAGCAAGTTACCTCGATTCCATACTGCGAAATGCAGACGGCAGGCAAGCTTTAGAAAAAGCTTTCACTTAGTTGATGAATGGAGCAGGAGCCAATGTAAGGACGGGATGGAGGTGAGAAACAGCCCCTAGGCAAAAACCTGGGGCGACTGTGCAACGCAGTTGTGAAACATCATGGCTTACCTCGAGGTTCTTCTGTTCACAGTCCCTGCCACAGCCCTTGTTGCACTGCTGACTGCACTAATAACAGAGCTAGCCCCAGGATATCCTGGTGTCCTCGCTGACCTCCAGAGGTTTGCCTTGGAAAAGGCCCCTAAAAGTTCAGGGTTTTAACCTTATCCAAATTTCACCGGCAAGGAAAGCTTGCTAGAAGTACCCAGTTCCCTGGGTTCAGCTCTGGGAGAAAGGCCAAGCGAAGAAGAGCTGGTGAGGCGACAGCAGTCAGTGCTTTCACCCCAGGTACAGCCCAGGGCCTACAGGAACGGCGCTTTCCAGCTGCGTGCAATGCGTTGTCAGTGAATATCGACTCTGAGCTCTTTCCGTTCACTTTTCTGGCCGTGAACCACGTTCAAAAGGCATTGCTAAAGATCAAAGGTTCATCCTCCTCCACAAAGTCTGACTTATAAGAGAAGAAAATGCTGAGCACTTGAACCCTCGTGCCGTGCTTGGAATGATTACCTCCACCTCTAGAGGAGTGACTTTTCCCTTTTCTTTTTTCAATAGTATACGTTCGCCGTTCTTAGTCCTGTGAGAAAATCACTCCTGAAGCATTTTTTGTAACGAGAATGTTACCAACACAGACCCACCAGCTGAGGAGCCCAGACGTATGATGCAAAGCGCCAAAACATGAGGTACCAGCAGCGACTAGCCTTACACATGGCTTGAGGTTAGCACGGAGGTTCTATTCCTTGAATAGAAATTACTTTGGCACTGCACTTTTACAAGTCAGCACTTCTGCTGCCAACATCTCATA